ATTCTTAAGCAAATAGCATTCAACAATGGGTATGAACCCAATCCCATTAATAAACTTATACATAAGAAACAACTCAAATCATTGAGAGAGACTGCGTTCCGCAGAGACTTGACCATCAAACCTCATTATGCTTCTTTACCATACCTTCAAGAACGTCTTTCTGGAGATATTAGATATATCCTAAAAAGATCTGTTGAGAATACCCACATTTCTTTTAAAGTCCCGAACAATCTAGGACAATGCTTAAACAATACAAAAGATCCTATCAACTACATGGATCGTAGTGGTGTTTATAAATTACAGTGCTCTGATTCTGATGCTACATATACAGGGTGAGTCATGAGGAACTTTACTACATACTTCTACCATATGTAGAGTCTATCAGGGAGCATATCATGTGGCCACTAAAAAATGTCAACTCCTTTTCTTTAATAACTAACAGGGTGATTTGTGTAATTGACCATTTATTTCATTTTACTGTAGTGTTTAAACGGCTCATTTGATTCTTTTAATTTTTGCATGATACAGTACGCTACTATCAAGCATTCGACTGGCATTAGCTAAACTAAACAATTCCAGGACTGGCTTTGGACAAATTAATTTAGGGATTCGTATTAAATATTACACCCTGTATATATTTTTTTTTAAAATGCAATAAGTGATTTTCAAACTACATAAATAACCAATGAAAACGACATATGCGACAATGTTGTCGCACTTTTATTAAATTTTTAGTGAACGATTAAATCTAACCAAAAATAGAACAACCATAATGAAGTATCAAATTATAAGGTATTAATTTAAACAAATGCTATAAATTTCAAACATTTTAATTAAAATGAGTTCCTACAACATAATCTAATACGTAGAAAATTAACATATTTACTGTCACTTTGTATTATCTCTACGATAGAATCAATTGTTTTTCAATTTTAAATTTTTACTCATAGATTGTATTGGGGCATTATTTTTAATAAATAATAAATTAAATTGATTAAAAAGTCAAACCTCTTGTATGTATTAGTTTTTGTTGATTGTAAATGATTAAAAGTTTATGTCAAATAATAATACATTGCATCAACTGTAGTAAATAAAAATAAATCTAAAAAAGTTTAAAATGAAGGTTGGCGTTGACCGTTTGACGTTTCTTGATATTTTATACCCATTGTCATTATTGTCATTATCAATTGTTATTTATGTGTACAAGAATACATATTTCTTCTGTCATATCTACGTTAAGTACATTGTGTTAGTTTTGGTAGAGCTTTTGTTATTTTCGTTCAAAATGCCACATCAGTTTTTGACCACAGAATATGCAGACATAATATTTGTTTATGGATTCTGTAATGGGAATGGTAGGTCTGCTAGTAAAGAATATCGCAGGAGATTTTATAATCGTCGAACTCCCAGTCATTCAATATTGGGTAAGTTTTTAATTATTTGCGAGAAAATGGCACTTTTCCTAGTGGAACAACAGAGCGACATGTAGATGAAGCGCAGGAAGATAACATTATGGACGCCCTTACTATGAATATTAATAACCGACAACAATCAATTGATAGAATTATACATTGTTGTAATACTATTAGAAACGATCCCCAGTGTATCCGTAATTCAATACGTCAATTAACAATTCGGCAACAAAAATGTGTACAGACTGCAGGGTTCCATTTCGAAAATCTATTGTGAATTATTTTTATTTTGTTACCATTATTGTATCTTTTCCAGTTCTAATTTATGGGTTTATCATAATTATGTACATATTTTTAGTTTTTATTTAAATTGTTCTTCGTCATTGTTAGTAGTTACTGTTTTTTGTTGTGCAGTGACTCAGTTTATCATTTCAATTAAAATGTTTGAAATTTATAACATTTGTTTAAATTAATTACCTTATAATTTGATACTTCATTATAGTTGTTCTTTTTTTGGTAAGATTTGATCGTTCACTAAAATTTTAATAAAAGTGCGACAACATTGTCGCATATGTCGTTTTCATTGGCTATTTATGTAGTTTTAAAATCACTTATTGCGTTTTAAAAAATATATATACAGGGTGTAATATTTAATACGAATCCCTAAGTTAAATTTTCCAAAGCCAGTCCTGGAATTTTTTAGTTTAGCTAATACCAGTTGAATGTTTGATAGTAGTGTACTACTGTATCATGCAATAATTAAAAAAATCAAATGAACCGTATAAACAATACAGTAAAATGAAATAAATGGTCAATTACACAAATCACCCTGTTAATTAATACAGAAGAGGATTTGACATTTTTTAATGGCCACATGATATGCTCCCTGAGGGACTCTACATATGGTAGAAGTATGTAAAATTCCTCATGACTCACCTTGTATAGGTAGAACCTGTAGATCACTAACTTCCGGTTCCTTAGACCACACTAAAAAAGAGAACACTTCCACCTTCTCACAACATCTTGCACAACATAAACATATCCTCAACATCCCAGAAGACGTCTCTTTGTTACACAATATCGCTCAAAAAAATGTTCTAAAATTAGATCTATACGAAGACTTGGAAATAGTCAAAGAAAAGCAAAGTAGCCCCACTTGCGTTAATCGCCATGTATCTTTCAACCGTGACTTTCAACCCTTATATCGACAACTCTTCTCATAGTCTACACTTCACAATATTGCCCCACCTTCTCTGCCTGTCTTTTCTATACAAATATCAACACCTTTAATTCTATACAATAATTGTGTTTCTTTAAACAACCATTCTCTACACTATCGTCACACCTTCCCCTCTCAACAAAATTTTCGACCCTATTGTTAACTTCAGAACCATCCATGTCTATCATACCACAATATTTCTCCATTTTTTCCATTCTTCATATATATATATATATATATATATATATATATATATATAATATATATATATATATATATATATAATATATATATTATAATATATATATATATATATATATATATATATATATATATAATATATATATATATATATATATATATAATATATATAATATATATATATATATATATATATATTTATATATATATATATATACATATATATATATATATATATATATATATATATATATATATATATATATATATATATATATAACATTTCTGTGCATTCTTTTCTCTTTCATTATTTCTTGGTCAACTCATATATCATACATATTCTCATTAGTTTTAAACACAGTAACCATTCAAAAATTATCTAACAATTTATCAGAATTCATAATTTCCCCTATTACAAAAAATCCTAACCAACCATTGCTCACCTTCTCTTGGTCAACAACTTAGTAGCACACTCATACATCAAATGTTAGGTTTTTATAAACCGAATTTAATACTACCAAAATAGATTTTGTTCAGGGTGTTAGATGCTATAAGCATGAAGGACCTCTATTATCTCTAATTGTTGATTAACTCTTCCCCTCCTTTAACCGTCGCCTTCTTCTTCAGTCATTTCGTTTACTTTTATTCTCATAAAGTCTCTGAAAAGCTCAGCCTCTTCAATTTTAAATTTAATCACATATGTTATAACTTTAATTTCTTCAGCCAGTAGATTTCTAACCCACATTTTTCAATTTATTAAACTTACTTTTACTAACTTTTTCACCATACGTGCAGTCTTAAACAAAGTCATTTAAATACGAGGTCTTATATTAGCTTCAAATATTTACTAATCAAACTTTACCTTGTCCTAGATGTGATAAACATAAAAGGATACTTTATATATATATATATATATATATATATACATATATATATATATATATATATATATATATATATATATATATATATATATATATATATATATATATATATATATATAAAAGGATCACTCAACAGAGTGGTGGGCTCTTATATCGGTCAATTTGTAGGTGGAGAAATGAAAGACAAAGTTAATGTGCCACTCTATCTAAAATTTTTTTCCTGGTAGCAGGTGTAAGGCTTAGACCGGTAACTTCATTCTTTTACACTTATTTTATTTTTAAATTATATTAACATCTTTTAATAATGCTACCAAAAGTTAAAATTAAAATTTAATAATTATCTATTGTTGGAAGTTAATCGTTGATTTTCTTAGTTCTTTGCATCAACTACGTTATAATTTAATATATATTTTTTATACTTCTGACCACATGGTCACTCATTGTGCTAATTTTTTAATAAGTCACTAAATGTTGTTAGTAAATTAAATGTTTATACATTTCTACTTTATATTGTCCATTTATTCAAGTTTAATTCATAAGCTTGTTAACATCTTTGACTGCTACATGTCTTTTTAAGAATGAACTGATGATGCTTTCAGAATACGAAAGCGAAACGTTTTCAAAATAGATAGAGTGGCACATCAACTTTGTCTTTCATTTCTCCACCTACAAATTGACCGATATAAGAGCCCACCACTCTACCACTCTGTTGAGTGATCCTTTTATATATTGGAATTTGACGGTCGTACTCCTTTTTCCGATATATATATATATAATATATATATATATATATATATATATATATATATATATATATATATATATATATATATATATATAGAACATCCCAGAGGTACTTTTCAGTGCGTCACAGTTTTTCGATTTCTTTCTAATGCATTAAGTTGGATGTGACGGAGAAAGCGGTAGTTCGGTGATTAAACAGAACTATATTGCAGCGTTAGAATAAGCTTACATACATAAGCGGTTCTTTCCTAACCTACGTTTGATTCGTTGATATTTAGATGCGCGCTTTCTCTAGCCAATCAAATACGCCTATTACTGACAGTTGACGTAAAACTTCGTCCATGCTGGCCATTCTTTCGAATTGTTGCAATAGCAAGTGACGGCTGTCGTTCAGGTCAGTATCAGTATTTGCAAAGAATATAGTATATTTATATATATATATAATATATTTATATTCTTTGGGATTTGTATTGTATAATTTTATTTTGTATTTTGTTTTACATAGTATTGTAATTGTGGTTTTATTTGTATTTGTACAAGATGACAAGATATACGGAAGAAGAACAAGTTTTAATATTAAAATTACTTAAATATTTTCAATTGGAAAAGGAAGCTGGACAAACATTATTACCAATTTCTGCTGTTCGTGAAGTAAGTTGAAAATTACCCTGAAAATAAATTTTTTTTTATTTACTGTTTATTTCAGCGTGTTGCTGAGGCGTTAGAAATTTCTTTGCCAACCATAAGGCGATTAGCAAATGAAGGAATACAAAAAGATTCTGATTATACCAATAAAGTAAGCGAATCAGTAGCCACTAGTTGTGAACCCAACTTGATTTTAAATAAATACCAACATACCATTAGGACTCGTATATATGGAATGTTTAGTAAAGGTAAGTTAAAGTCTCTATGTACATATATATCTGTCGCTTGGAATAAAAACATAACATGTAAACTCCAGTAATCAGCCCTTGTTTGTATTTGGCCACATAGTAACCACCTTTGATTGTAGTTTATAAGCTTATTACTCAATAACATCAATATACTTAAGTTAATATTGGAATATCACTATGTTTGAAACAATTTGTATGCTAGAAATATTATAAATAATATAAAATAAACGGAAACTTAATGCTTCTCATTCACACATTGCAGAAGAACCATATGATTGTTGTATTTCTGTTTATTAATGGTAATTAAACTACTTATCCTTATTTTATCTATTTACACCTTTATGTTTTGAAAAAGGTAAAAGCCTTAAAGATATGGACATCTGATTTTTTTAAATGAAACTATCTCATGTCCTTACTATAGAAATGATATTAACCTAAAATCCAGAAAAATTGACATCCACCCTTTTATTCGAAGCCACAGATAATATATAATTAATAATAATATAGTTAAAATATTTTATCATATTTCTGTTATGTAGAAAGGCAGGAAGAACTAACTTTTCAGATACATTTCTTTTAAAAAATTCTTACTGACAACTAGTTACATAATATATAAAATATATAGAAGTAAAAAGTGATAATAAAAAGAATACTACTGATATAAGTACCAAACTTCTGTGGTAAATGGGTAAACTTACTTACAATATTGTAATAAAGATTTAAATCCTTTTTGCTGAAGTTTGTCCATTTACATCATACATTTTAGGAAAATATATAGATCTATTTTCATAACTCTTACACTTTGAATTATTTAAATATGCTTACTACGATTTATGAACGGAGTACTGTTTGTTGCATATACCATTTAAATTTAGATAAATTCCAAATGTTACAATTAATATGTTACTTTACATTCCAAATATTGTTTCTAGAAGAATCACTATAGTGTCTTATTAATTTTTCTTTGTTCGTTTTAGGTGAGCATGTAACTCTCTATACTTTACAACAAAAGCTCGAGGAAGTGGATGAGGTTAAAATTTCGATTTCTGCACTTCAGCGAGTTTTAAAAGTATTAAAATTCAGATGGGTGAATTGTAATATTTCAAACAGGAAGTATTTAATGGAGCAAGCACATGTTACATTCAAAAGACTCCAGTTCTTAAAAGCATACAAAGAGAATGAAATGGATGGATACCCTTTTAAACCAGTTTTCCTGGATGAGACATGGATATTTAGTAAAGGAGGATTCCGGAAGAGCTGGCAAGATGGCAGTAGTTATGCAGTCCGAAAGAAGAGTGGAGAAGGTGTACGATACATTGTCCTTCATGCAGGTTCTGAAAATGGGTTTATTAATAACTGTGAACTCATTTTCAAAAGTGGAAGTAAATCTGGTGACTACCATGATTCGATGAATTCAGATAATTTTGAAAAATGGTTTGTGCATCAGCTTTTACCAAACTTAGAAGAACCTTCGTTGATTATAATGGACAATGCATCGTACCATTCCACTTTAGTTGAAAAAATTCCAAATGCAAGTTGGACCAAACATTCTTTATTGGAATGGTTGACAAACCGAAATATCAAATGTTCAATATCTATGATGAAGTTTGAGTTAATGGCTATTGTAAAGAAGCATTTACCAGATAAAATATTTAAGTACGTATTAGAATTTATTTATTAAATGGCATTTTTATGTATTTTGTTTTACAGATTAGATAGACTAGCCCTTCAATATGGCCATCGGGTCTTGAGACTCCCTCCATACCATTGTCAATTTAATCCGATAGAGAATGTTTGGTCTGACTGCAAAAGGTATTATGATGCAAATATAACTTCTGCTGGCGTTACAAATGAAGCCACAGTTTTAAATCTTTGGAAACAATCTCTACAACAGGTAAATTAATATATTTTTTTTAATTCTTAGGTAATAACTTTGCTCTAATTTTAGGTTACACCAGAAAAATGGAGAAACTATGTTAAACATGCGGAGAAACTTATTAATGAGTATTGGGAGACTGCCAAAAGTATTGACATAAACCCCATAGCTCCAGTAATTATCGATTTAAAAGAATCAGATTCTGACTATTCAGATGACGATTTTGTTGGCTGATACTCAACCGTTTTTTGTTTGATTCGCCAATTTTGATGTTTGGGTTACATTTATTATTATGTTCAAAAAAATATTTTTTTTTTCAAAAACATTTTGAAATACAAGGGCGTCCTGTAATGCGGACATTAGGTATTTGTATGGTATTTTTCAAAACACAGTTTTTTCACCATATTGCGACCTTTGTATTTACTTGACCTAGTGGTTCAATGGTATCCTAGTTTGATAACATAGAACACTATTGTCATACCATTTCACACACAAAATTTCATTAGTTTTGTCAAATCTATAATAATATGCATTTTTCTTCATTAGCTTACTCTTCATTAGCTTTCTCCATTACTGGAAATTTTACAGTTCCTTTTGCCTTTACATTTTTTTGTTTCAGATATATCATTAGTTGATATGTCATGAAATGTTTATTGAAAAAATTTCATTTGTAGATGGTTCAGGCAATTATTTTAAAATATCAATTACTATTTTAGCTCCAAGTGGTCTTTTTTAATAGTACCATTTGCTTTTTTCGGCAACAAACGTGAAAACCATAATAATATCCTGTGGAACCAGTTATTATCCAATTCTTATATTTACATCTGACTGGCTTCTCTCTAATTAACTGTTTAGCTAAGTTATAACCAAAATATTTCACCATGGAGTTGTCTAAGGAATTGTATTTATGGAAACATCCCCCTGGCAGTATTTTTCTATAATTTTATCTGCTAAAAGTCTAATTTTGTACATACAAACTGTAGAATTGCCTATTTTGACATTATCCGCTAGATGAACAAACTTTTTTTTTTTTTTTTTTTTTTATTTAAACATACAAAACCCACATCAACCACCAAGGGTTATTAGTGGGGGGACATACACAGTAGTACAATTTGTTAAATTAAAGTTTATTATAAATGTTTATGTCTTTTAGAAACTGTAATAAATCCGAGATATTTGTCGTAAGCGCACTTCTCAGGTTTCCACTAATTCCTCGGCATGTTCTCTGAGGTTGGAACTGCGGACAGTCGACTATCAGATGCTTCACCGTGAGTTGAGTAGAGCAGTAGGTACAAATTGGAGCTGGTTCTTTGTTTAGAAGGTGTTGATGTGTTAGTCTTGTGTGGCCGATTCGAAGACGATTTACGATTACTTGATCTCTTCTTTTTCCTTGTTGTGGTAGGCTAGAGTCTACTCGAGGCTTTATTGTTTTCAACTTAGAGTCTGTTGCATCCCAGGTTGCTTGCCATAAATTTATTATATGATTCATGGACTGTCGTTTATGGTCGGTGTGGGGATATTTAGTAATTGCTGGAACATTTTCATTTCTGATGGATTTTAATGCTAATTGATCAACTTCCTCGTTGCCTTTAATGCCAATGTGCGAAGGTATCCAGATAAATGTAACCTTTTTATTTATATGGTGTAGTGCATTAAGTTCATTTCTTATGTTTTGTGCAATGGGATGGCTAGGGTAAAGTTGATTAATTCCATGAATTGCGCTCAGTGAATCTGTGATGATTAAAATATTATTTTCAGTCGTTGAAGAGGATTTCTTGATAGCTTCTAATATCGCTGTGGTTTCTCCGGTGTAAATGCTGCAATGCTGTGGAATTCTAATGGCATATTTGTAATTTTTATTTGTGAGGGCTGCAGCATGGCCACTTTCAGTTTTTGATGCATCTGTGTATATTATGTGGTGATTTGGATACTTCTCCATAATGAACAAACTTTGTTATTTATAAATACTTCTCTCTGCTCAAAGCGTTGTAAACACAGGAAACTCCTAGGTCCTCATCCAATGACCTGATCTAATTTCATTTCTAGACGATTCAGGGAACTAGTTTAAAATATCAATTACTATTTTAGCTCCAGGTGGTCTTTTTTAATACCATTTGCTTTTTTCGGCAACAAAAGTGAAAACCATAATCATATCCAATGGAACCGGTTATCATCCCATTCTTATATTCACATTTGACTGACCTCTAATTAACTGTTTAGCTAGGTTATGACCAAAATATTTGACCATGGATTTGTCTAAGGAAATATCTTTATGGAAACATCCCCAATGGCAGTATTTTTCTATAATTTTATCTGCTAAAAGTCTAATTTTGTACATACAAACTGTAGAATCGCCTATTTTGACATTATCGGCTAGATGAACAAACTTTGTTATTTATAAATACTTATCTCTGCTCAAAACGTTGTAAACACAGGAAACTCCTAGGTCCTCATCCAATGACCTGATCTAATTTCATTTCTAGATGGTTTAGGCCTATATTTCAAAAGATCAATTACTACTTTACCTCCAAGTGGTATTTTTTTATTATCTTCAATATCATTCGTTTTTTTTTTCGCAACAACCGTGAAAACCATAATCATACCCAGTGGAACCAGTTATCATCCAATTCTTATATCCAAATCTGACTGGCTCCTCTCTAATTAATGTTTTGCTGGGTTATGACCGAAATATTTCATCATGAATTTGTCTAAGGATATATCTTTAAGGAAACTCTCCACTAGCAGTATTTTTCTATATTTTTCTATTACACTGATATTCAAATTCTACTGTTCAGTGTTGTTATTAAACTATTAATATTACACATTAGTAAATAAATAGTTTTTATGATTAGAATTATATTTTATTTATGTAATTAATTTAGAAGTTACCTAATAAATTTTTGAAAACAGTCTTTTTGTGTTACTATGACCAAAAAGCAGTAGGGAGAATAGAAGAAATAACATCAGAAGAAATGGAAGTACAAAGAGTTGTTCGACAAGGGTGTATACATACACCAGTATTATTTAATATGTATACTCGGAAGACATATTAAGTAAGGCAATGGATTAACGAAACGTAGACATTAGAATTAATGACATGATCATAAATAACCCGAGATACGCTGATGATACAGTTCTTTTAGCCGAATCACATGAAGACCTACAGATACTTCTTAATTAGGTGACTGCAGTACGCGAAGAAGAATATGGACCGTCACTCAACAGAGCAAGAAATATATGATAATAACAAAGACAACTCAGGACATTCGTGAGATATGTCTACAAAATCAGCCTATTGAAATAGTAAGAGAATTCAAATACATAGATACAACTATTAATGAAAACAATTCAGCAATCTCTTAAATAATACGAATCAGAATCAAACAGGCCAGAAGCTCATTTACAAGAATACAAAGGCTTATCTGCTGTAGAAACAAACCTTAAGTTAAAATACGACTGCTGAGGTGCTACGTGCTATCTGTATTATAATACGGGATGGAAGCGTGGACACTGAAGAAAATTCACGTGAGGAGACGGAAGGCATTCGAGATGTGGATGTACCGAAGAGTACTAGAGATCTCATGTATAGATGGAATAACCAACGTTGAGGTAATGTGACGAATGCATAAGGAAAGAGAAGTACTAACAATTAAAATCTGAAAAGTGGGATATATGGGTCATGTGATGAGAGGAGATAAATATCTAATACTCCAGATCATTATGCAAGGAAAAATCCAGAGAAAAAGATCCATATGAAGGAGACTTAACCCATGTAATAACGGCTCATTTAGAGCCGCTGTCTCAAAATTAAAAATCGCTATGATGATTGCCAACTTTCGACGCTCAGACAGCCCCTTGAGAAGAAGAAGATACAAAAATTTAATAAATGAATCATTTTGTCGTCAATTTCGAATGTTTCCATATTTATAAATTTAATAAACAATATTGTTTACTTTTTATTTTTATTAATATACGGGATTACTCCCCGTGGCTAAGTACGATCCTGGAATCTGTCAGATTCTTCAATAATTATATGAAATAATGCTCGACACACCTAATTCATCATATGACGTCATAATTAATGAGGCACTGAAAAGTACCTCTGGGATGTACTTTATATTATATATATATATATATATATATATATATATATATATATATATATATATATATATATATATATATATATGTATATATATATATATATATATATATATATATATATATATAAATATACTTCTTTGGAGGGTAACTTTCGGGAAAGCGTCAAAACAAGGATCAGCTAGAGATGGTATAAGCCAGCTTGGTGTAGAACTTTATTCTAAATGTGAAATTTTCGGTGATATGTTGTCACCTTCATCAGCACCTAAATGGAAAACCTATTATAGTACAGTGGTGGAAATCAACATTTAAAAACCTACATTGAAAATGTTCAGTTGGTCCTAGTTGTAAAGAACACTGTCACAAACATGTTAAAAATATTAAAAAATACATTTAAAATTTTGAATAAAAACATTACAACACAACAGGGTAGTTTTTCAAATACAAACACAACAAAAAGTCTAAAATTTACAACCTACAAAAACTGCAAATAGAAAAGAAGAATTAATCTTCTTTTTTGATGACATATTTCTGTCAACATCCGGGTGTCATATGTAACGAGGTTATAATTTTCACTTTTGCACATCACAACCACATGGATACGAAAAGAAAGAGCCCTAGGCAACATAATAAGCAAGGAAATGAAGTCCCCTCTAAAGCACAGGTAGGTAATCTATGCATGTCATGATAAGTTCCCCACATTTTCCAGTTTGTTACTTCTTGTCAAGTCCTGTTGAAGTAGAAAGGAATAAATACAACTTAAGTTTTCAACATCTTTCTTACAGTTCATAGGAGAGCTGCAGTTATGGATGTAGCACATTTCTATGAAGTTTCTCTTAAATTGGTTGTCAACCCTCTTTAGTACTTGCACATTTTCATAGTTAGCAGTGTGTCCAGTATTCTTAATATGTTGGCTAAAGGCTGTGCTGGTGGGCTTCCTCACAACATCACTCCTGTGCAAAGCTATTCTTTTTGAGAGTTTCTGGCTGGTTTGACCGACATACACTTCTGAACAAGAACCACATGGAATAGAATACACTACATTGAAGTTATCCAGTTTTTTAACTCTTTCTGTCAGGTGAGTAAAGTATGTCCCTAATCTTTTGTAAACAGAATTTGCTATCACTATGTTGAACTGTCTGA